CCAAGGCATTGAACTATTTCACTCTTTTCAGCAGCAGAGAGATCCCTTTTCTTCCCCATATTGCATGAAAATGGTGCTCTGCTTAATAATGTGGAACACCCTCCTTTAGTAGTTTTTCCTAAATTGGGCTCACCTGGCAATCTAATTATCACAGGTGTCCGAGATTGTTTTCAGTGATCAAAAGAGACACAATGCCATCCATGAGTTAAACTGAAAAACAAAATATTTAATCTTTGTGACACTTAACCCCTTAAGGACACAGCTTCAGAAGCTTGACTTACGCTTAATGACACAAGCAATTTTTGCATTTTCTTGCTGTTTGCGTTCAACTGCAATTTGTATCTCTCTCATTTATTGCACCGACACATATTATATACTGTTTTTTAAAGGACAGAAAGGGCTTTAATTTGATATAACATATATATATATATATATATAAATGCTTACTTATTATAAAAAAATACAGAAAAATGCAAAAAAAATGAAAAATATTGTTTTTTTTTACAGTTTTTGCAATAATAATGTGTGCATAATTAGTGCAGGTTAAGGAAAGTAATTAAAAATAAATTTATTTATTTGTTCTGATTTACAGAATATATAATGTGTCTGGGATTTTAAGTTTTTTTTGGTAGTTACAGGTCACAAAGCACAAGGAGTAAAATAAACTTTTAATGTGGAGCGATTTTAGAATTTGGTATGTTTGTCTTGTAAGCTTAATAGCCATAAAAGAAAACAAAATTGCCACACAAAAGTATATATTTATATAAAGTAGACATCACGGGCTATTTACCTAAGGTTGTTTTGACACTTTCTACGTAGCCATTTCACCGCCAACCTCTGCTAAATATTGGAGTAAAATTGTGTTCTTTTTGGTTTTTGGCACACAAACTTATAACAGAGAAATTCTCGTGTATATTTTGTAAAGTTGGTGTGTGCTATTCCTGTACAAAGTTTTATTTTGTGTTCAGTTACATCTGCTGAGTAAAATGACACCCCCATTGTATGTCTTTTGCACTATTTCGTGAAGTTACAGTGCCATACAGGATACCTGTCCTTTTCAGTATTCACAGTAGAATTTTGAGAGATGGATTTAATGAGCCTTAGCTTCCATTTGAGGTATTATAACAGTTTGACTGTTCAAAAAAACCCCACAAAGGCCTACCATTTGTAAAAGTAGACACTCCAGGGTATCTTATAAGGTGCATATTGTGCCTTAACATGCCCCCATTTTTTCACCAATATATGCCAAAGTATGTGGTAAAAAATAATTTTGTGCATTTTTTACATACGGATTGCATTTTTGCTGGGCGTTTTGTATATTTCATATGTGCCACTAAGTTCAAACCCCCAAATTATGCTCAGCTAAGTCTTCTGAGTAAAATGACACCCCATATGAATGTCTTTGGCACTATTTCGTGAAGCTACAGTGCCATATAGGAGACCTGTCCTTTACAGTATTCACAGTAGAATTTTGAGAGACGGATTTAATGAGCCTTAGCTTCCATTTGGGGTATTATAACAGTTTGACTGTTCAAAAAAACCCCACAAAGGCCTACCATTTGTAAAAGTAGACACTCCAGGGTATCTCATAAGGTGCATATTGTGCCTTAACATGCCCCCATTTTTTCACCAATATATGCCAAAGTATGTGGTAAAAAATAATTTTGTGCATTTTTACATACGGATTGCATTTTTGCTGGGCGTTTTGTATATTTCATATGTGCCACTAAGTTCAAACCTCCCAAATTATGCTCAGCTAAGTCTTTTGAGTAAAAATACACCCCCAATGAATGTCTTTGGCACTATTTTGTGAAGCTACAGTGCCATATAGGAGACCAAGCCATATCCGTTTTTACCAAACTTTGAATTTTGACGCTGGGCCTATGTGCAATTTCCAAGCATCTTCGCAGGTTTTAAATTCAAACTACCCCACAAAGGCCTACCATTTCTTAAAGTAGACACCCCAGGGTGTTTCAAAAGGTATAGTTTGAACCTTAGCGTGGGATCATTTTTCCGCTAGCTTGTACCAGATGTAGTGGTAATAAGCGTTTTTTCTGCCTTTTTGACATACAAAGTGAGTTTGCACAGTATATTTTGCAAACCTTATGTGTGCTACGACTGTATAATACTTCATATGTTGCTCAGCTATGTCGGCTGAGTACAGCAATACCCCCGTATGTACCTTTGCCAGGTATGTGTGGACATCGGAGGGGCACATTTGGGACACAGCCATTCCAGTTTTTTTCAAACTTTGAATTTTTATGCTGTGCCTATGTCCCATTTTAGAGTATTTTACCAGGCTATATAATCCAAATTCCCCATAAAGCCATACCATTTCTTAAAGAAGACATCCCAGGGTATTTCAAAAGGCATATTTTGAACCTTAGCGTGGGATCATTTTTCCGCTAGCTTGTACCAAGTGTAGTGGTAATAAGCATTTTTTCTGCCTTTTTGACATACAAAGTGAGTTTGCGCAGCATATTTTGCAAACCTTATGTGTGCTATGACTGTATAATACTTCATATGTTGCTCAGCTATGTCGGCTGAGTACAGCAATACCCCCGTATGTACCTTTGCCAGGTATATGTGGATGTTGAAGGGGCGCATTTGAGACGCAGCCATTCAGTTTTTTTCTAACTTTGAAGTTTTACGCTGTGTCCATGTTCCAATTTGGAGTAGTTTAGACGGTTGGTTATTGAAACTTCCCCACAAACACATACTATTTATTAAAGAATACACCCTGGGGTAATTCAAAAGGCATATTTTGAACCTTGGCGTGGGATAATTTTTTCTCTAGTTTGTTCCAGGTGTAGTGGTAATGAGCGTTTTTAAAATGTATTTTTTTACTTTTTATAACTTTTTTACTTTTAAAAACTAGTTTTTAAACTTTTGTTTTGCTTATAAATTTTTTTTAAACTTTCCTAAACTTTCTTAAAACTTTTTTACAGATTTAACATTTTTCTAAGCTTTTTTTTTTACCGTTAACCCCTAACTAGCAGTACGCAGCACTAACAGTAAATTCCCCATTTTCCCATAACTCCCACCCACCCCAGCTAGCAAAATATATAGTTATAAAATATTTAAATTAATTAATTAAATAAATTGAACCCCTGAGGGTTAAAAAAATAAATAAAAGTTAATCCTCAGGGGTTAAAAAAAATTAGATCACAGTATAATACTGTGATCTCTATTTGATCGCTGTAGGCAGTGATCGACTGGCAGGGAAGGGGTTAATTTTTATTTGGACTAGGTAAAGTGTGTTTTTTTTGTTTTTTTTACTTAAATGTTATTAAAACATTTTTTTAAGCTTAATTTTTAACTTTTTAAAGTTTCTTTTAAAACTTTTTTTTAACGTTAACCCCTAGTTAGCCTAACGCCAAATCCCCCAATTCCCCACTAACTTCCACCTACCCCAGCTAGCTAAATATATAATTAAAAAATAATTTAATTAATTAATTTAATTAATTTAACCCCTGAGGGTTAAAAAAAAAAGAATTAACCCTCAGGGGTTAAAAAAAAAAATCAGATCATAGTAAAATGTAATCCCTGCCAATTGATCACTGTAGTCAGTGATCAATTGGCAGGGAAGGGGTTAATTTTTTATTAAAATGGGTAAGACTTTAAATAAACTTTATTTTTTTAAACAGCAGGGGGCAGGATCAGCACTGATCCGGCTCCCTGCACTTCACACAGAACCCGGAAGTGCAGGGAGCCGGTAGGTGAGTATACAGAGCACATGTGCTCGCTCTGACTTGCGGTCAGAGCGAGCACATGTGCTGGGCAGCCCTGACCGGGTGCTCCCGGTATGCCTCTAATGCAGAGGCATACCGGGAGCACCATTAACCCCGCGATCGCCGCGATAGCGGCGATCCGGGGTTAATTTTACCGCGTGACGGACGAGGTCCATCACCCGTCGTTAAGGGTCTCCTCTCTGTGACGGACCTCGTCCGTCACCCGTCCTGAAGGGGTTAAATATAATTTGCATAATAATTTGGAACAGGGTGTATGTTTATTTGCATAAATATTAGATAGCTGACATATTGCGACCTCCAGGTAATTGGGAGACTTTAGAAGATTTACTTTATGTGATTGAGATTATCATTAATATTGTTTCTTTTTTAGCATGCCAGGGTTGTTCTGATTCTGTATCACTGACACTCATCACTGACACTTGGCAGGGTCACATATTTGTAGTACTTTGACTTTTTGTATTTATTAGCACACTTTTGGTTTTGATTTTTATTTATGCACATATTTACTCACACACATGCACCCATTCTTCATTCACACTGTATCTTCTTGTTCACTGTAGATACTTTACATCCACACACTTCACATTCACTCACTCTTCTCCTCACACATCTCATATAGCAGACGGCCTATTTTGTCTATTCTATGCATTGTGTTATTTGATCCTTTATCCCTGGGATTATATAAATCCACAGGGTTAATCACTGTTCAGCGTGTGCACTGGGTTGCTATGGTAATTTATTGTTTATACGCGGTCACATCATCACACACGCTCACACGTCACCACGCACGCGCATTGGCTGTCAGCACTTGACAAGTAACGGGAATCACTTCACACAGATGGGGTAAGTAAGATATTTAATATTTGTTATATATATACATAATTTGTACTGTCATTATCTTGATAAAGATCCTGAAGGGTCGAAACGTTGATGTAAGGTTGATAAACACTTTATAATACATTGTTGGAAAATCCAAGCGAGTGCTCCTGTTTGACTTTGTTTATCTATTGGCTTGGAGGCACCCGGGTAATATTATTTTGATTTATTTGCTTTGGGTTGAGTGCTAGAGTCTATTTATATATAGATAATTTAATTCGAAGTGTATTTTGATATAAATATACAGCGGGACCTCGGTTTACGACTGTAATGTATTCTCCGGGACGTTTCTTATTGCGAAAAATGTGTAAACTGAAATTCGGTTTCCCATAGGATTGCATTGAAAACCAATTAATCCGTTCTGGAGGTCAGAAAAAAGTCGTAATGAGCTGGCATGGAAACCAACCCACAATGCAGAATGCACAATAAAAGGCATGCAAACGTTTAATTACGCTCCCGCTAGAATCATCTCATGTTTTAGACTTACACTGCAGGTCACATAGACGAGCACATCAAGGACACTAGGGCAGCAAATACCCCCAGGCGCACTAACTCACACTTAGTATACCTGTCATCAAAGCAGCAAGACTCGTAGCCCTGCTCGATCATGTCGAGGCTTGCCCCGCTCTTACATTGAAACTGAGACAGGAGTAGACCCAGCCAACCTAACACTACTCTCACACCATGGTCGAATCTGGTTTGAACACATGAACCTACACATGACCCACTAGCACCCATATCAGCATGTATACGCATATAAGTCGGAAGATGCTAAGTTATTATATAGCCCTACAACGACTAACAGATACGAAGCCTCATAGAGTACCTAGTCCAACCTGGAGGAAACAGGCACCCACTCCCATACAGCTTAGGCGATAATGACTACACCAGGTCTAACCAGAATGTCCGGTGTACATAAGGCTCACACACACCGAAGGCACAGAGGCCTGGAGTGTTCTTAAACATACAGCTTTTACATAACTCAACTATAAATATCAATTTTAGACAATTAGCTCATAGTATCTGCATTATTAATGCTGTTACCAGCGTCACATTAGTAATGAGACGATAATTCTATATCACAGTTATATACATTGGTTATATCTACTTTTTCACATAAAACGAGGCAAACAACCTCTGGAGATGATATGATCTGTACCGAGACATTCCTACTATGTATGATTTTTATTATCTCCCCTTCTTTATTTTGTACCCATGCACCTTTATGCCTCAATTAAAGAAAGAATTTTAAAAAAAAGCATGCAAACGACGAAGCTCAGCTCCCTACCTTTCCACAGCTTGAGAAATACACCAAAAAGTCCCAAAACAACTGCAAACAATTTCCAGAATGGCTCCAAAACTCGCTCCAACACCTCCACACTCAACGCCACGTGCTACCCACAGGATGCAGAATGCAGGGGGCAGTGCTATAAACCTCCCAGGTGCAATGCATCCTGGGGAAACTTGCTTTGTATTGCGAAAATGTTTTGTAAACCAAGGCATGATTTTCAATGGATTTTCATTTGTAAACCGAAAATTATGTTAACCGAGTCGTTTGTAAACCAAGGTACCATTGTATATGAATTAATATCAAAATACAGTTAATATAAAATTATATATAATTTTTTTTTATTTATTTTTAAATTTTTAAAAAAATTATTTATAATTTTTTTACAATATATATATTACTTCGGAAATTCGGCACTTCGGCAATTCGATTCGGCATTCAGAAATTTGGACATTCGGAAGCAACTCTACCCCTAAACTAACCCTACCTTTACCTGAAGTGCCGAAATCCCGAATTTCAGAATGCCGAATTGAACCAAATATTTTTCCCATGCACATTATTATTATTTTATTATTTATATAGCGCCATCAGATTCCGTAGCGCAGTACAATGGATGGACTAACAGACATGTAATTGTAACCAGACAACTGGACGTACAGGAACAGGAGGGCACTGCTCAATGAGCTTTCATTCTAGAGGGAGTGGGGTTTAGTGACATGAAGGGTAAAAGTAGGGGTATGAAGTAGGTTGTTAGAAAAGTATTCACTGAGGGCTTAGTAGGTAATTTTGACAGTTGCAGAAGAGGAGTCATGGAGGGTGGGGGATAAAAACCTGCTAATAGTTTAATTGATATGCTTTCTTGAAGAAGTGAGTTTTCAATTATTTTTTTGAATGAGTGGAGACTGGGTAAAAGTCTTACGGAGAAGGGAAGGGATTTCCACAGAGGAGATGCAGCCCTGGAGAAATCTTGGAGGCGAGCATTAGAGGTGGGAGTACGGACAGAGAATATATGTAAGTCTTTGGCAGAGCGCGGGGCCTCGACGGGACATACTTGTGTATTAGGGAGGATAGGTAGGTTGGAGCAGCATTATGTAGGGACTTGTGAGCAAGCACCAGATTTTTAAATTGAGCCCTATATCTAACTGGAAGCCAATTCAAGGACTGACAGAGTGGGGAGGCATGGGAAATTCGGACAGGAAAATGAGCCTCGCCGCCGCATTCATTACAGATTGCAGCAGTGCAATCTGGGAACACGTAAGACCACTGAGAAGGGAATTGCAGTAGTCAAGGTAAGAGAGAGCAACAGCATGGACCAGGACCTTAGCCGCATCTGGCGTTAAATAGGGGCGGATGCGCGCTATGTTTTAGAGATGGAAGCGACAGGATTTGGTGATTGATTGGACGTGAGGGGTGAAGGAGAGGTTGGATTTAAAAAGAACACCCAGGCAGCGAGCCTGCGAGGTAGAGGTGATGGTAGCACCGTTGACTTGGAGGGAGACAGACACGGGAGGAAAGACCAGAAGTTCTGTTTTGGACAGGTTAAGTTTAAGGAAGTGAGTGTCGCATATTCATCCGCACATAAAAATGTGGTTAATGGCATTTACTGTCCTGACAGGAAAAGTTGTGCCGAGCAACATTACTGTCCAGAAAAGTTGTGCCGAGCAGCAATCATGTTCATGGAAACCTGGTAATTACTTTTGGGGTCAAAGGCCGGTCATGGCTAATCAAATCCACAGGAGGGTTTTGTGCTGAGCAGCAATCAAGCACATGTAAACCTGGTAATTGCCTTTGGGATCAAAGACTGGTTACAGCCAATCGGATCCACAGGAGGGGTATTCAAAACCAGCTCTCCTTTTGCTCATTGCCCTGTCGTGTTTCATGCCTTTGGTTATCCGACAGTGCGTTCCTGATCTTGATTTTCTGGTATTTGACTTTGGCTTTGTTTTGACTTCCCTGATATCTGGTATTCTTGACTTTTGGCTTTCCGTCATCTTTGTGTCTGATTCTGTGTAAATGTACTCGGTTAGTATTTTGACTATTCTTGGAGACGTTAAGTCCGGCCATTCTAAGGTCCGGTTATACGTTACCCTTAGTCCTAGGTGTGACACAGTACTGTGTGCTGGATCAACTTGTAATCCTGACAGTGAGCAGCCATCCAGTTGGAAATCACAGAGAGGCAGTCAGAGACACGAGTCAAGATGGGCAGAGAGATCAGGAGCGGACATGTAGATTTGCGTGTCATCTGCATAGAAATGATAATGGAAGCCAAAGGAGCTGATGAGTTTACCAAGGGAGGCGGTATAGATAGAGAACGGTAGGGGACCAAGGACAGAACCTTGGGGGATGCCGACAGAGAGTGGTTGGAGGGAAGAGGCAAAGTCAGAGAAAGAAACAATGAAAGAGCGCTGGGAGAGGTAGGAGGAGCACCAGGAGAGAACATTAGATGAATAAACTTGGCACATGATGGCAATCAGTGTTAGATACATCAATTTGGCACACCATGGAAGTTTTAGATGCACAAAATTGGCACACCATGGCAATCAGTTTTAGATACACAAAATTGGCACACCATGGCAATCAGTTTTACATACACAAAATTGGCACACCATGGCAATCAGTTCTAGAGGCATAAAATTGGCACGCCATGACAATCAGTTTTAGAGGCATAAAATTGGCACCCAAAAGAAATCAGTTTTAGAGGCATAAAATTGGCACCCAAAAGAAATCAGTTTTAGATGCCTAAAACTGGCACACAATGACCGTTTTAGATGCATACATTTGGCACATCATGGCAGTTTTAGAGGCATAATTCTGGGATATCATGGCAATCAGTTTTAGATGCATAAACGTAGCCTAGTTTTGGAATATCATGGCAGTTTTAGAGGCATAAACATGGCATATCATGGCAATGAATTTTAGAGGCATAGAAATGTTTACTCACAGACTCAAGCAGAATCAGAAGTGCTGTGTCCAGCTCTTTTATCCAGGAACAAACCCCTTGATTGCAAGGGAGTGTTTGGCTATAATGTTGGCTTTTAAATGTGGATGTACATTTGTGCGTAGTATTGGTGTGTGAGTGACGCGGTGTGTTTGTATGTAAATTTTGGAGTTTGTATGCACATATACACATACAGCTACTTCCTCCCCTTGCGGGCGATATTACAGGGTATTATTGCTGTACAGGGGCCCAATCAGGTGCTGCGTCCCTTTAAGAGATCGACTTTGCACCTGTACAGCAATCATACACATCGGAAGGCTCTAAGTGCATAGGACACCCAATGGGCCCCCTGACCATGCCAGCCCCGGCAGCAGTTTTGCTGCTGAGTTAGTATCGTGCAGAAAATGCAGCGCCAACCTCCAAAAACAAAAAATCTAAAATCAGCTTGCAAACCTCTAGTGGGTCGCAACCCACACTTTGAAAAACCCTGCTTTAAGAGATTTTAAAATACTTTTTTTATTTAGGGGCATGCGAGAGGATTTAACCTCTCTTTTACCAATATGGGGGTTATAGTGACCCCCTTACTGATTTATATTTAGTTTTATGACAGCGAGCACTGGATATAAATGTATCCTATATAGAAGTGTTAGAGCTACGGTAAGAGTACATGTAAAAAGTAGCTATTTAGATCTAAATAGCTACTTTTTCATATTGCAACATTGTTATAGTTTTTGCTATAAGTTTTGGCTACACGTACTCTTACCATAGCTCTCTATCACCTCTATGTAAGATAGTGATTTTTATATCCAGTTTCAAATGACAGCGATAGGCGACATGCCCCTACTACACTGTTGTCTTGGCATAGGTAGGGAGAGGATTTGACCTGTGCCAGGTACCCCCTTATTGCACTTTTAAATTTATTTAGGTGACATGCCCCTACTCTTGCGAGTAGAGGCATGCGTGAGAATTTAACCTCCCTTTTATTATTATGGGAGTCATAGTGACCCTCATAGGTTTTAATGGGGTGGGTGGGGGCTGCTGGCTCCCTCCTTTTTTTTTTTTTTGCGAATGCGCAGTGCTGTTTTCGTCTGAAATTTCTTTCGAAAACGAATGGATCGCGGACGAAATTGGGGATTGATGAATGAAATTTTTATCTAGGATGAAATCATTCATACATAACGAAAATTTCACTGGTGCACATGTCTAACATTCACACACATAAAAAAACATGCTTACATTCAAACACACGTACATAAGTTGTATGCCTCTAAAACAGATTACCATGATGTGCCAAGTTTCTGCCTCTAAAACTGCCATGATACCGAAAATTATGCCTCTAAAACTGCTATGATATGCCAAGTTTTTGCCTCTAAAGCTGCCATGATATAC